CCTCATCAACATCATCATCATCATCATCATCATCATCATCATCATCATCATCATCATCATCATCATCATTAACCATAAGATCAGCGTACTTGTCGTACAATATTTGTAGCTGCCACAATTTCGTCCGCCGATGATTTGGGGAGGTGGGGTAGGAGACTGCACATTGGAGGCCGAAGCTGGTAAATTGGCGCGTAAATACGGCACTTTTATTGGACTATTAAGTGGGGGCATTGGGAAGGGAGGTATTCATTGAAGGCAATTGCTTGGATGCAAGAGCGCCATTGAGGGCGCAACTGGGTAATATCTGACAATGCCTCTAACTGTTGAATACAGATTCAGTCTGCTAGTCGAAACAGCTTTCGCCTATTTATTCTGCATTTCCTACTTTAAATTTCCAGCAGACCTGCAATTTATTCACTTGATCTGACAAATATGCTTTGTAACAAACGAAGTGTTGCCCATCAATGAACCCACCAATCGTTCAAGAAACGTTCCTTAAAAGATGAAGAGAATTGCATTCCAATATCGTGCCAACTGAATCATGAGGCAGCCTGTTTGCAGCACATTCAGTTGTAGGATATCATAAACGAGAGATTCAATTGAGTCTCCCGTGAAAACCAAAAGCAATTATTTCTCTTATTTAGCCCAGTCTTCTATCCATTTTACCCTTAATTGGTCAGTCTACCCGCAGTGTAGTTATAACACACCAACATTAGACGAACGCTGTCAAATCCCGCTGGTATTAGAGCTAATCAGCGGGGATCATAATTAGCCGGACTGAAACTCGAACCCCATCCAGCTCAGGTGTGACGGTCACATGGTACATTTTGGCCACAAGGACAATATGTGGCTATGTCCATCTGTCAAGTCAATCTGAAAATTCGTGACCCGTTCTTGGATGTTTCAGAAGTCCATTTCACGCATCAGCTCAATGGGGACAGTACTATTGCCATCTTCTCTGAAGGGGACCCCGAGATGGGCCATATCAATGGTTAGAGACATTGTCTGACATGACCCAATCGCATTCTCAATGGCGCTCATGCATCCAAGATATTGCCTTCAATGCATAGCTCCCTTCCCAATCCCCTCAGTTAACAGTTAACCTACAGTACTTTATTTACACACTAATTTATCAGCTGCTGCCTCCAATGCGCAGCTACTTACCCAATCTCTTCGAATCACCGGCGAACGCAACTGTAGCAGCTACAACCACTGTAGGATAAGTACGTGGTTACTACAGCTGACAGCGATGATGATGACAAACTGGTGGCTGACTGCGGTAACCTTGAAATCGTGTTTGCAGCAGCTGGGACATTTGAATAAACTGATGACGTCACTAATCGATATACAAATCTATCTCTCACTTCTGTCTGCCATACCATACGACAAGTGCAGATAGAACCGCATACGTGGCCGTCAGTCCTCAATGTGTGTGTACATATATACAACATATTTACCATTGTTAGTCTTATCTTACTCCGAATATGGTGAAATTGAACGAGTTGTTCAGACGTAATCGTAATCTGTATATGTGAAGCGGACTGTAAACATAATGTATGAAATATCATGAGAGCCATCTGTTTAGTTTCTGTTTTTTTTTCGAGGAAAAAAG